AAAATTACGGGATAAGAGGCGACTTTTGAGGCGCCTCAAGAATTACGGAGGAAGAGTTTATAGTAGTTAGCGGTTGTGGGGAAGCGGGGAGGGGGAGTTGGCGGAGCGGGGGAGCTCGGGGATGGTCCCCTCGGCGTGGGGCAAGGCGCCATAGGGGACAGCGCATAGGGATGCGCGCAGAGGGACATACGCGGAGGGAAAGACCGCGCGCAGGAGTCCGCGGCAAGCTCGCATCGCATTCCCTTTCTCCCACTCACGGCGACTCACCCCAAACCCACTAAGAGATTTGAAACAAATTGCCACCTTTCCCCCGAACTCCCTCTTTATACGCCACCCGTCGCCGCACCTTGACACCAACCCCTAAACCTCAAAACACTCCCACCCACACCCCCCCTTCGCTCCCCTTCCCTACCCTCTCCCCTCCCTCCCCTCCCCCGCTTCCTCCTCCTCCTCCCCCTCCCCCTTATTCTCCCCCCCCCCCCCCCCCTTCCCCATAATGCACAAAGCCCCTCTAAGCACCCCCCTCCCCCTGCCCCATCCCACGCTGCCCTCTCCCCGTACACTCACTCGCCACGTTCTGTATAATCACATCCGCGCCGCGACCATAGATCGTTACGTGCGACTGCAGAAAAAGCCGCTTATATAGCCTAACTAGCATCGAGCCATTAAAGCGTATAATCACACCCTCGAGATAATTACTTCAACCCCATCTTAGCGCGCGTTGTGGAACGTCCTTCGCCTTATCCACGTCAATGGTATCCACATAAACCGGCTTTCCCAGCCCGCCAGTCACGCCGGCAAGCGCGGCGTAACCCATGGGGCATCTGTACAAATTCTCTCCCGCGCCGCGCGACCGGTACAGGCAGTCCACGTTTCCTCCCCCCGCTTTAATCACATCTTGGTACGGTGTCATAGGGAACCCATCCCCCGTTACTGGCAGCACTTACGAGTCTTGCCCCGCCGAACTGCCTTCTACCGTGCCTGGATCGGTCCTTTCGTCCCCAACCTCCTTCCGCCCGCCCTTTCTCCGCTTCCCCTTCCGCCGCGGCAGCCTCACGGGGAAGTTCCGCGAGGTGAAGAGCTCCGCGGGGGGGAGAGATTCCGCGCGGTCCGCGCTGGTGCCGTCCCCCGGGTCTATTAAATAACTGCCGGCATCCCCTCCCCCTGTCAGATAACCTGCGTCTACCACTTCCTCCCGCTTCCTCTTCCCTGCGCCGCCGCTTGCGCCATCACTTGCACCACGTCACTACGGGCAGCGGCACGCATCGCCATGTCACTACGGGCAGCGCAACGCATCGCCACGTCACTACGGGCTGCGTGACGCATCGCCATGTCACTACGGAGTGCGCCATGCATCGCCACGTCACTACGGGCAGCGCCACGCATCGCCACGTCACTACGGGCAGCGGCACGCCTCGCCACGTCACTACGGGCAGCGCCTCGCATCGCTACGTCACTACGGGCAGCTTCACGCATCGCCACGTCACTACAGGCAGCTTCACGCATCGCCACATCACTGCGGGCAGCGCCACGCATCGCCACGTCACTACGGGCAGCGCGACGCATCGCCACGTCACTACGGACAGCGCCACGCATCGCCACGTCACTACGGGCAGCGCCACGCATCGCCACGTCACTGCGGGCAGCGTCACGCATCGCCACGTCACTACACGCTGCGCCATGCATCGCCACGTCACTACGGGCTGCGCGACGCAACGCCACGTCACTCCCGGCAGCGCCACGCATCGCCACGTCACTACGGGCAGCGGCACGCATCGCCACGTCCCTACGGGCAGCGCCACACATCGCCACGTTACTACGGGCAGCTTCACGCATCGCCACGTCACTACGGGCAGCTTCACGCATCGCCACGTCACTACGGGCTACATGACGCATCGCCACGTCACTACGGACTGCACGACGCATCGCCACGTCACTACCGGCAGCACCACGCATCGCCACGTCACTACGGGCAGCGCCACGTGTCGCCACGTCACTACGGGCTGCGCCACGTCACTACGGGCAGCGTCATGCATCGCCACGTCACTACGGGCAGCGCCACGCATCGCCACGTCACTACGGGCAGCGCCACGCATCGCCACATCACTACTGGCAGCTTCACGCATCGCCACGTCACTACGGGCTGCGTGACGCAACGCCACGTCACTACGGACTGCGCCATGCATCGCCACGTCACTACGGGCATTGGCGGGGATGGGGGGGAAGTGACAAGCGGGCGAGCCATGGCCTGCAGCATTCCATCCAGCCGCCTGTGCACCTCCGCTGGAGGGAGAAGGGGGTTGGGGTGGAGGATGGCGAGTGGGGATGGGGGGTGGGGGGGTGAGGATGGGTATGGTGGGATTGGAGATGGGTAAAGGGGAAGCACACGCATAGTGAGGTTGTTGGGAGGAAAGGATGAGGAGCAGGGCGGTACAGACGGGTGGACAAAGGTGGCAGCGTGGCAAAAAGGTTACAACTTACGGCACTGGCTGCCCTGCTGCAGCCAGACGAACGAGACAAGTTGCCAAGGTGAGTACGTGTGACAGAAGTTGAGAAGATCAGAATGCGAGAACCCGGCGGCACCTGGATTGCGGGTGACCTGTGAGGAGCCGCGGGTGGTAGCAGCCAGCCACTTGAGAAATAACGGATTCACCGATGGGCCTGATGATGGGGGCATGGAACAGGGGGGAGTTGGGTGGGGGCGATAGGATGATGGGAGTGGGATGAGTGTAAGATGGAAGGAATAGGAGGCAATGGGATGGGGGGGGGATGGGATGGCTTTTGGCGTTCCCACGCTGCCCCTCCCCCTCCCCCCCAATCCCCCCAAGTCCCCCTAAGTCCCCCTACCCCCAAAAGCCCCAAAACCACCCAAAACCGCCCCAAAACAACATTCCAGGGCCGGGAAACGACATTCCCGGGGGGTCAAAATGCACTTTCATGGGAGCATGGGGGGTCAAAACGCACTTTCATGGGAGCATGGGGGGTCAAAACGCACTTTCATGGGAGCATGGGGGGTGAAAACGCACTTTCATGGGAGCATGGGGCAAGAGAACGCAAGTGAGTGGCTAGGTCGGAGACAATCGCGAACGAGCCGAGGTCGGGAAACACGAACGGCATGAGGATGTGGCTGAGTGAGGCAGAGGACGGGGTGGAATAGCGTGCACAAATAGCATCATAAAACTCCTTTGCAGTCTCTTCTTCGTCGAAGTGAGCGGCCTCTGTCGATGGAAGAAGCTGTGTCAGCGCGAGTGCAGCCGCAGCGTCACGGGAGTCCCAAACGTCCCGCGCCAAGACGAGATGAGCGTAGTCCGCCTGCGCCTCCGGAGTCGGGGGGGGCACGGCAGGTAGGGGCTCAGGACGCCGGGGTGCCTGGAGGGCGCCGGACGCGTGGGCGTACAGGGTGGCGCCGTCCTGGCGCTGACTGGTGAGGTAGCGCTGAGTCTGGCGGAGCCAGGTGCCGAACTCTATCGGACGACCCTGCGCATCGAAACGAAGGCGGTGGGAGGAGTCCATAGCGGACGCTAGGCGAGCGTCGGCTGGAGTACGGAGAAAGCGGAGCTAGGAACGAGAAGAGAGACTAGAGACGGCTAGAGACGCCAGCTGGACATAGACTAGGGACAGTCGGAGGAAACTAGTCTAGGAGTGGGGATCTAACCGGTCCTAGGTCGCGCTACCGGTGGGAAGAGCGGCTGCCACCCGCTGAAACGGAAGCCAACCGCAGTAGGAATGGCGTGGGGCTGGCAAAACAGGTTAAGCGAAGGGTGAGGGTAGGGCAGGGCGCGGCCTAGGGCTAGGGCGCGGCCTAGGGCAGAGCGCTGCTGAGGGCGAGGTCGCGGCCTAGGGCGAGGGCGCGGCTTAGGGCAGGGCGCGGCCTAGGGCGCGGGCTGGGGCTAGGGCGAGGGCGCGGGTTAGGTCGCGGGCGAGGGCGACGGGTTAGGTCGCGGGCTGGAGTGACGGGCTGGGGCGCGGGCTGGAGTGACGGGCTGGGGTGACGGGCTGGGGCGACGGGCTAGGACGCGGGCTGAGGGCGACGGGCTAGGGCGCGGGCTACGGAGAGGGCGCGCGGCTCGGGCGCGGGCTACGGAGAGGGCGCGCGGCTCGGGCGCGGGCTAGGCGCGGGCTACGGAGAGGGCGCGCGGCCCGGGCGCGGGCTAGGCGCGGGCTACGGAGAGGGCGCGCGGCTCGCGCGCGAGCTAGGCGCGGGCTAGGCGCGGGAGGGCGCAGGCTAGGTGCGGAGGCGCACTAGGGCGCGGAGGGCGCTTAGGCTAGCGATGGAGGGCGCGAGAGGCGCGGAGGCGCGCTAGGGCGCGGAGGGCGCTAGGGCGCGGAGGGCGCTAGGGCGCGGAGGGCGTTAGGGCGCGGAGGGCGCTAGGGCGCGGAGGGCGCGAGGGCGCGTGACGGAGGGCGTGTAGGGCGCGGAGGCGCGCTAGGGCGCGAGCTAGGTAAGGAGTCTAACCTACTCGTGATACCATCTCAAAGTAGGAACGCGACGGAATAATGTGAACTAGGGAAATGAGGGATACATAGCAACCCTAAAAGTGTTGTACTCCCTAGAGTGCTACTCACTGTAGCCTAAGAACCAATAATAACATTTGACACGTAGTTCGTTGCGTGAGGAATTGCTTGCCCCAAGTGTGGCACCAATCATGGTGCGCACAGAATATTTGCATGTTATGTTACCGTGTTTTTGCTTAAAAAACGGCTTCTCAGATTGTATTATATGTCCGGTTAGTGCAACCCCCGTTTGCTCTTTCTACTACACTCTTACGTTAACACTCAAAATTTCACTCATTGCATTCCTGGGCTGTACTTGAAATTGAGGCTGTGTCTATATTGAGTATGAAACTTGAATCTAGCCTTGAATGTTGAATCTGGTAGCTCGGCTGAGACGGCTGGTTTCGGGCCGGGCTCTCAGGCCGTCATCAGCCTCTGAGGACTCGGCTTCATCTGTATCAGCGGCTCGGCATCACGTTGATACTCGCGATCACACAGAGACGAAAATGATTCCGCGAGCTCTGCTGAGCTGGCGGAAGAGATTGGGGACTGTGCATGGCGCGCGCGATCATAAGGCAGGATCGAAACTCGCACGACACGCGGCGGACATTTTGCCATCGCACGCCGGGAAAGCAGGGTACGAGGCGCCGCCTGAATGCGAGAAAGGCGCCGCGGCGAGTGCGGTGCAGTGGCGGCCGTGGATCGTCCGCTGCGCGGCGGGGCTTCTGGCGCTCGTCGTCGTGCGATTCCTGCTCGTCGCCAACGAGGTGAGCACATCAGTGCCGCTCGATAAAGTATCCACGTTGGGCTTCTGGCGCTCGTCGTCGCGCATGGCTTGCTCGTCGCCAACGAGGTGAGCGTCCGATCTGTTCTGTAAATTCCCCCGTCGCTTATATTGTTCCCACACCCACCTCTCCTCGCCATCCTCGCTTCGTTTCCGAGCCTCAGGCTTGGGTGGACAGCCTGGAGCTTCGAAACTTCTCCCCTCTGGACGCGCTGCCGGCGGTGGCGTGGGAGGCGGGGAGGAGGGTCCCCCTCGGCCTGGTTGCATTGGGTCTGTCGACTCGCTTGTTCCAGTCTGTTCTGTGCATTCTCTCGCTTCCTGAATTCTTCCCCTCACCACACCCACCCGAGCCTCAGGCATGGGTGGACAGCCTGGAGCTTTGGAATTTCTTCCCTCTGCAGAGCCTGCCGGCAGTGGCGTGGGAGGAGGCCCCCCCGCGGCCGGGGTGCATTGTGACTCTCGACTCGCGCTACAGCCCTGAGGGCGTGGCGGCCGTGGAAGCGGCTGTAGCGCGGCTGCTGAGGGAGCTGGGGGTGGAGGCGGAGGAGGTGGGCGGAGGGGGGGGAGGGAGAGAAGAGGGAGGGGGAGAAAGGATTGGTGGAGAGGGAATAAGGGGAGAGGGATTAGGCGGAGAAAGAGTAGGGGGAGAGGAAGTAGAAAGAGAGGGTATTGGGGCTGGGGTGGGCGATGGGGGACAGGAAGGGCGGCGTGGGGGGATCGGGGGACGGGATGAGGGGGAGGTGGATGGGGGAGAGGTGGGGAGGGGGGTGAGGGATGGAAAGGGGAGACTTTTGAAGGAAGGAGGGGGAGACGGGGAGGGAAGGTGGCATGGAGGGTGGAGGGGGAGGCGGCTGCAGGGAGGAGACGAGGAGCGCAAGGGGGAGGGGGAGGGGGAGGGGGAGGGGGAGGGGGGGCTGAACGGGGATTCAAAGGCGGAGTTGGGGAATGGGGAGGGCGAGGGTGAGGGGAAGGCTGAGGGGACGGATGAGGGGAAAGGGGAGGGGAAGGATGAGGGGAAGGAAGAGGTGAAGGATGAGAACTCGAAGGTGAAGGAAGACGGGGGAGGGAGGGGCAGGGAGGCGATGCCGGAGGCGTGGCGGCGGTTCTACTCGGGGCTGCCCAAGGTGGTGGATGCGGAGGGGCACGAGAACATGTGGAAATTCCCCATCTGGGTCGCCCTGGCCGTCAACATGTGCGTGTGTGCTGCAGCGTCATGTGCCTGTGTGCAATGGTGTCGACATGTGTCTATGTGACAGTGCATTCATGTGTGTATGTGACAGTGCATTCATGTGTGTATGTGACAGTGCATTCATGTGTATGTGTGACAGTGCATTCATGTGTATGTGTGACAGTGAATTCATGTGTATGTGTGACAGTGAATTCATGTGTATGTGTGACAGTGAATTCATGTGTATGTGTGACAGTGAATTCATGTGTATGTGTGACAGTGCATTCATGTGTATGTGTGACAGTGAATTCATGTGTATGTGTGACAGTGAATTCATGTGTATGTGTGACAGTGAATTCATGTGTATGTGTGACAGTGCATTCATGTGTATGTGTGACAGTGAATTCATGTGTATGTGTGACAGTGAATTCATGTGTATGTGTGACAGTGAATTCATGTGTATGTGTGACAGTGCATTCATGTGTATGTGTGACAGTGAATTCATGTGTATGTGTGACAGTGCATTCATGTGTATGTGTGACAGTGAATTCATGTGTATGTGTGACAGTGAATTCATGTGTATGTGTGACAGTGAATTCATGTGTATGTGTGACAGTGCATTCATGTGTATGTGTGACAGTGAATTCATGTGTATGTGTGACAGTGCATTCATGTGTATGTGTGACAGTGAATTCATGTGTATGTGTGACAGTGAATTCATGTGTATGTGTGACAGTGAATTCATGTGTATGTGTGACAGTGCATTCATGTGTATGTGTGACAGTGAATTCATGTGTATGTGTGACAGTGCATTTATGTGTATGTGTGACAGTGCATTCATGTGTATGTGTGACAGTGCATTCATGTGTATGTGTGACAGTGAATTCATGTGTATGTGTGACAGTGAATTCATGTGTATGTGTGACAGTGAATTCATGTGTATGTGTGACAGTGCATTCATGTGTATGTGTGACAGTGAATTCATGTGTATGTGTGACAGTGAATTCATGTGTATGTGTGACAGTGAATTCATGTGTATGTGTGACAGTGCATTCATGTGTATGTGTGACAGTGAATTCATGTGTATGTGTGACAGTGAATTCATGTGTATGTGTGACAGTGAATTCATGTGTATGTGTGACAGTGCATTCATGTGTATGTGTGACAGTGAATTCATGTGTATGTGTGACAGTGCATTCATGTGTATGTGTGACAGTGAATTCATGTGTATGTGTGACAGTGAATTCATGTGTATGTGTGACAGTGAATTCATGTGTATGTGTGACAGTGCATTCATGTGTATGTGTGACAGTGAATTCATGTGTATGTGTGACAGTGCATTCATGTGTATGTGTGACAGTGAATTCATGTGTATGTGTGACAGTGAATTCATGTGTATGTGTGACAGTGAATTCATGTGTATGTGTGACAGTGCATTCATGTGTATGTGTGACAGTGAATTCATGTGTATGTGTGACAGTGCATTTATGTGTATGTGTGACAGTGCATTCATGTGTATGTGTGACAGTGCATTCATGTGTATGTGTGACAGTGAATTCATGTGTATGTGTGACAGTGCATTCATGTGTATGTGTGACAGTGAATTCATGTGTATGTGTGACAGTGAATTCATGTGTATGTGTGACAGTGCATTCATGTGTATGTGTGACAGTGAATTCATGTGTATGTGTGACAGTGAATTCATGTGTATGTGTGACAGTGCATTTATGTGTATGTGTGACAGTGCATTCATGTGTATGTGTGACAGTGCATTCATGTGTATGTGTGACAGTGAATTCATGTGTATGTGTGACAGTGCATTCATGTGTATGTGTGACAGTGAATTCATGTGTATGTGTGACAGTGAATTCATGTGTATGTGTGACAGTGCATTCATGTGTATGTGTGACAGTGAATTCATGTGTATGTGTGACAGTGAATTCATGTGTATGTGTGACAGTGCATTCATGTGTATGTGTGACAGTGAATTCATGTGTATGTGTGACAGTGAATTCATGTGTATGTGTGACAGTGAATTCATGTGTATGTGTGACAGTGAATTCATGTGTATGTGTGACAGTGAATTCATGTGTATGTGTGACAGTGAATTCATGTGTATGTGTGACAGTGCATTCATGTGTATGTGTGACAGTGAATTCATGTGTATGTGTGACAGTGCATTCATGTGTATGTGTGACAGTGAATTCATGTGTATGTGTGATGGTGCATTCATGTGTATGTGTGACAGTGAATTCATGTGTATGTGTGACAGTGCATTCATGTGTATGTGTGACAGTGAATTCATGTGTATGTGTGACAGTGAATTCATGTGTATGTGTGACAGTGAATTCATGTGTATGTGTGACAGTGAATTCATGTGTATGTGTGACAGTGAATTCATGTGTATGTGTGACAGTGCATTCATGTGTATGTGTGACAGTGAATTCATGTGTATGTGTGACAGTGAATTCATGTGTATGTGTGACAGTGAATTCATGTGTATGTGTGACAGTGAATTCATGTGTATGTGTGACAGTGAATTCATGTGTATGTGTGACAGTGCATTCATGTGTATGTGTGACAGTGCATTCATGTGTATGTGTGACAGTGAATTCATGTGTATGTGTGACAGTGAATTCATGTGTATGTGTGACAGTGCATTCATGTGTATGTGTGACAGTGAATTCATGTGTATGTGTGACAGTGAATTCATGTGTATGTGTGACAGTGAATTCATGTGTATGTGTGACAGTGCATTCATGTGTATGTGTGACAGTGAATTCATGTGTATGTGTGACAGTGCATTCATGTGTATGTGTGACAGTGAATTCATGTGTATGTGTGACAGTGAATTCATGTGTATGTGTGACAGTGAATTCATGTGTATGTGTGACAGTGAATTCATGTGTATGTGTGACAGTGAATTCATGTGTATGTGTGACAGTGAATTCATGTGTATGTGTGACAGTGAATTCATGTGTATGTGTGACAGTGCATTCATGTGTATGTGTGACAGTGCATTCATGTGTATGTGTGACAGTGAATTCATGTGTATGTGTGACAGTGCATTCATGTGTATGTGTGACAGTGAATTCATGTGTATGTGTGACAGTGCATTCATGTGTATGTGTGACAGTGAATTCATGTGTATGTGTGACAGTGAATTCATGTGTATGTGTGACAGTGAATTCATGTGTATGTGTGACAGTGAATTCATGTGTATGTGTGACAGTGAATTCATGTGTATGTGTGACAGTGAATTCATGTGTATGTGTGACAGTGCATTCATGTGTATGTGTGACAGTGCATTCATGTGTATGTGTGACAGTGAATTCATGTGTATGTGTGACAGTGCATTCATGTGTATGTGTGACAGTGAATTCATGTGTATGTGTGACAGTGAATTCATGTGTATGTGTGACAGTGAATTCATGTGTATGTGTGACAGTGAATTCATGTGTATGTGTGACAGTGAATTCATGTGTATGTGTGACAGTGAATTCATGTGTATGTGTGACAGTGAATTCATGTGTATGTGTGACAGTGCATTCATGTGTATGTGTGACAGTGAATTCATGTGTATGTGTGACAGTGAATTCATGTGTATGTGTGACAGTGAATTCATGTGTATGTGTGACAGTGCATTCATGTGTATGTGTGACAGTGAATTCATGTGTATGTGTGACAGTGAATTCATGTGTATGTGTGACAGTGAATTCATGTGTATGTGTGACAGTGCATTCATGTGTATGTGTGACAGTGAATTCATGTGTATGTGTGACAGTGCATTCATGTGTATGTGTGACAGTGAATTCATGTGTATGTGTGACAGTGAATTCATGTGTATGTGTGACAGTGAATTCATGTGTATGTGTGACAGTGCATTCATGTGTATGTGTGACAGTGAATTCATGTGTATGTGTGACAGTGCATTCATGTGTATGTGTGACAGTGAATTCATGTGTATGTGTGACAGTGAATTCATGTGTATGTGTGACAGTGAATTCATGTGTATGTGTGACAGTGCATTCATGTGTATGTGTGACAGTGAATTCATGTGTATGTGTGACAGTGCATTTATGTGTATGTGTGACAGTGAATTCATGTGTATGTGTGACAGTGAATTCATGTGTATGTGTGACAGTGAATTCATGTGTATGTGTGACAGTGCATTCATGTGTATGTGTGACAGTGAATTCATGTGTATGTGTGACAGTGCATTCATGTGTATGTGTGACAGTGAATTCATGTGTATGTGTGACAGTGAATTCATGTGTATGTGTGACAGTGAATTCATGTGTATGTGTGACAGTGAATTCATGTGTATGTGTGACAGTGAATTCATGTGTATGTGTGACAGTGAATTCATGTGTATGTGTGACAGTGCATTCATGTGTATGTGTGACAGTGAATTCATGTGTATGTGTGACAGTGCATTCATGTGTATGTGTGACAGTGAATTCATGTGTATGTGTGACAGTGAATTCATGTGAATGTGTGACAGTGAATTCATGTGTATGTGTGACAGTGAATTCATGTGTATGTGTGACAGTGAATTCATGTGTATGTGTGACAGTGAATTCATGTGTATGTGTGACAGTGAATTCATGTGTATGTGTGACAGTGAATTCATGTGTATGTGTGACAGTGAATTCATGTGTATGTGTGACAGTGCATTCATGTGTATGTGTGACAGTGAATTCATGTGTATGTGTGACAGTGAATTCATGTGTATGTGTGACAGTGAATTCATGTGTATGTGTGACAGTGAATTCATGTGTATGTGTGACAGTGAATTCATGTGTATGTGTGACAGTGAATTCATGTGTATGTGTGACAGTGAATTCATGTGTATGTGTGACAGTGCATTCATGTGTATGTGTGACAGTGCATTCATGTGTATGTGTGACAGTGAATTCATGTGTATGTGTGACAGTGAATTCATGTGTATGTGTGACAGTGCATTCATGTGTATGTGTGACAGTGAATTCATGTGTATGTGTGACAGTGAATTCATGTGTATGTGTGACAGTGAATTCATGTGTATGTGTGACAGTGCATTCATGTGTATGTGTGACAGTGAAT